GGCAAAATGTAAACTCTGCAGAAAACATAGATGGAGACCAAGCCAGGCTGCAGCTTCCGATCTCACACAGCAAGGAGATTCTGGCAGCATAGAGGAGGATGTCGCAATGGTTCCTCACAACAATGCCTATGACGCTGTGTTTCAGATTTTAAAGCTGAGAAGAAACAAAGTCTTAAAATTAAGAACAAAAACAGGTGATTCTTGCCCCAAGCCAAACCCCAAAGTGCTCCTGGCACAGCCCCAGCTTCTCAGAGGCACTGCCTTCTCATCGTCTTCTGTTTGGGCCAAACCCAACCACCTTCCCCAGCCCTAGCACACCTCTGCTGGGCTTCAAAGCACATTGAAGGTCCTCTTCGGAGAGCCCTGTAACCATTCCCCACTGCCTTGCCTGGACCTCTTCCTTGCTCTGCAGCTTCCTGACCTGCTACGGGGACACTGGCAGCTCACAACAGGTTGTTGTGGGACTCCAGAACCACTCCTGAAAGCGGTTTCTGTCTCTTTGATCTCTTCTTGTGGTGGAGGAACTGCAGCACGCATCAAACACACCAGCATTCTTCCCCCATAGCCCCTCCTCGAGCTACACCAAAGCTCTCCCACTTGCTCTCAATGTAACAAGGAGACACTGGGGGGTCTCAGCTGACTTTTCAAAGGAGCTGATGGGTCCCTGTGCCCACGGTTTGGGGATGAATCGTGCCTTCCCGGCCCTCCGTGTTCCCACTGGAACTGTTCAGTGAAGGGGAGGATGAGTTAGTGGTTCTCAAGCAGTCCTGGTGCTCGTAGGGTGCCGAGCTGTGCAGCCTGCCTGGCCACAGCCTGCTTGTACCCCAGAGGGTAGGCGCTTGGCCAACGTCCATATCCATGCTTACAGGCAGCTGTAACCCTGCCCTCCCACTGCTGCTCACAAGACTCCTACCATTGCCACCTTCCCCTGCCACACAGCAAATTCCACTCCAAGGCAGGAAACTCAGATGAACTGACAACGGCAGATTGATCTGATGTCTGCTCCCTCCCTGTCGCTGCCGATTTCCATCATCAATCAATGTGTTTGGGTCTCTACTGGTTTCGCCACTATGCACCAGCAGCAAACATTCCTGCACGAACCCCATAACTTTCTGTTTGTGATTTCAGCATACCCTGTGCACAGCCTCTTCCTGCTCTAAAAACCTGAAATCTGAGAGAGAGATTAATAAAACCTCTTTCCTAGAGCAGCTGCAATTTGTGTGTTACCAGATCACTCTGGTAAGATGTGACATGAGCAATAGGGTACTGAGTGCCTTAGTTTGCAGAATGGCTGAGTCCTAAATATTGTCACGGGGTAGCCTGTAGCCTCCTCATTGATTCAGAAGGTGCTGGACCCCTCTGTGCTGGAGGTTTCAAGACACTGCAAATGAAAACGACTATACATGATTCCAAGGATGGGGTTACATCAGGACCTGCCCAAAAAATTTAAAACCATCCTGAATTCCTCCAGTATGGATTCCCAGTGCTCCTACCTGCTCACATTTACTGCACATTGTGTGAACTGAGCATCATAACCCCACCATTCAAGGAATGGGCTAGGTGTTGGGCACTGCAATGACTGATAAGAGTCAAGAGGCATCACCCATGCTTGGACACGTCCCTAGCTCCATCCGCACACCCATTCGGTTCCCTCAAAGCACAGTCACGACACGGTGAACAGAAGAACAACCCACACCTTCCCACCAAGTTCCTTCCCCAACAACTAAAACCACCTGGCCTAGAAGTGGCTCCCAAACCAATGACACAAAGACATAGTGAATGTTCTCTGCAATTTATTGAGAATGGCAACATCCCGAGGAAGTAGGACATCCCACAAACAGAAGAGGAAGGGAGGTGGGGACAGTACATCTTGTTCCATGTCACAGGGGGCCTGGCACTGCAGAGCAAGCTTTGCTCTCCTTAGAAAAAGTCCGCGTGTGCCTGAGGTGTTACCAGGTGTCACAGAGAGCAAGGACAAGTGGAACTGGAAGCCACAGCTCCAGAGAGAGCTCCAGCTTACAGCACACCTGGGGCTCCCAGGTGAGCAAAGGCGCTCAGGTGCTCCGCGCTGGGGCAAGTAATCCCGCTGGCCACCAGCCAAGAAGGTGCTCCCTCCCAGCTCTGCCATGGGACGAGTCCCGCTTGCCCTACATCTACCCTGACCCCAAAGGCTAGTGAATGGAAGCAGCAGGATGTACTGCATGCAGAAGCGCCCCAGGGATACGGCCATCGAGGAAGGGACATGAGGACAGAAGAAGAAAGAGGAGTTTTATACACATTTGCCACGAGGCAGCCAGAAATGTACAACCCAGCAAGAAAGGCAGAGCATCTCCCTCCTGTAAATCAGCTCGCCGTGCTGGGTATCCACAGGTGAGATTTTTCTTTGCCCAGGAGATTATTTCATCGCTGGGCTTGGGGCTAACGAGCAGCTTGCCAGGGCTGCTAACGGGACATGGCATTGCCACGAGACTCCCTTGATGGGACAGAGCCATGGAGACGAGCCGATTTGTGGTGGGCCGTGAGGGACACAGTTCATTTCATTGCGGGACACTGGAGCTGGATTTAAGAAGGCTGGGCTGCTGCTGGGAGAAGGTAGGAGATGCTTCTTTCCTTTTTCAATCTGGCTTTGGGGCTCAGAATCTCACTCCTGAGGATTTGACGGAGGTGGTCGTGACACATCTCCGTACAGAGGACGATCCCCCACCAGAGCTGAAGTTGCCACCTCCAGAGCCGCACATCCTTCCACTTCCAGAGGAGAAGCCCCCCTTGC